CATCATGGTGTCACCTCTTAGTGTCACACGGGAGGCTTTGCCGGTCATTAGTTCAGCATCACGGCCTCCTTTACCTCACGCTGTCCGCTCCACGATGACCATAAACCCGTGCTGTCATATGCTGAATTCACAGGAGCTTCACTGCTTTCCAGATGCCCACTGAGGAAAAGCTGGCCTTTCAAAGGTTACTGTGAGAGAGATGACAGAGTACAGAGAGATGGGAGGATTGGTTTCTCTTGAATCCTTGTTTTCTTTTAATATATTTTTTTATATTGCTTGATTACCAGCTGTGATAATATGGCTGCTGTTGTTTTCACCGAGTGAGCGTGAGTGTTCATGCATGTGCTATCGAGGCAATGTTGTCCCAGTGGCACCGAGTGTGGCGAGAACCTACTAGAGCAAAATGGCCTGTCAGGGATTTATTGGTATTTTCTCAGGTGTTTCTAATAAGACAACTTTTCCCTTTGCAGACCATAATGCAGAAACTGATGCTTGTCGTGACAATCACATAGTTTATCCAGCAGAGCTGCTCAGAATCCTGTGTCAGCAATACTCTGCAGTAGGGCTGTTTGATATAACGATATATATTGGATGACGATGTAAAAACGTCTATCGTTTGTTTCGTGGTGTCGCAAAAGAAACTGTTTACAGCAATATTTTTTTCATCGTTTTGATGGTCACTGTAGTGGCTATATTAATTTCTTAAAGTTTTCTCTTTCTCTTATATTTAATATAACCACACTACAGACGCGCCTGTTTTTATGCGTTGTCGTTAGCAACAACGATGGTAAAACCCTCGCGTGTCCGCTTGTTTATGTTCCACATAAACCTTTCACAATAAAGCTCAAGATCCTGTTGAGACTTTTCAAAATAAACTGAATCACGTGAAAGAGTATGCAGATTATTTACGGATGAAAAGCAAAAAAGAGCCGTCAGGTGCTAAAAAATACACCTTACTCAAACGTTAGAACAGGCTTTTCCCCGCAGCACACTAATAAATCCTTTTATAAATACTTTTACTTTTTTTTTTATAAATACTCACAAAGAAACGGCGGCCGTTACAACTTATGTCTAAAATGTATAGTTTCATGCATCGGTTAAAACACTTGACTCCAGGTACATGACGCCCAGCTGGAAACGCTTCAAGCAAGTCGAGCTGCCCGAGATTCACAGAATTTACAGAAAATGTTAAATTTTTGTGATTTATATCGTTATCGGGCGATAGATGTCTTATATCGGGATATGAGATTTTGGTCATATCGCACAGCCCTACTCTGCAGTGAGTCCTGCAGCACATGTTGCAGAGTAGCGTCATAGCTGAGCAGACAGTGCAAAGTCAAACTGTCTTCCTGGTGAATCGCAATCTAGTTTGTGAAGTGCAGTGCTGCAAAGTTAATAGACAATAACTCCATTATTTGTTCCTATTTCTATACAACTCTTTTATACTGTATGTACAGTACTGTGCAAAAATCTTGAGCTACCCCTAATTTCTTGATATTTTGCAATGAAAGTGCAGCGGGAGCAGCAATCTATTAAAATGCGCAAACATATGCAAAAAAAGTACTGTAAATAGTCACTGTTGTACCTGTGTCCTGGCCCCCTCTCTACATATTGACAATTTGAACCAGAGCTTTCAAATTTGGATTCATCACTCCATCAGACCTGTTGCCACTGATTTTTCAGTCCAGTTCTTGTGTAACATAGCCTCTCCTCTCCGTTTACCTTCCTTAAGAATGGTTTCTTGACAGCCACTCTTCCAATGAGGCCATTTCTGATGAGGCTTCAGCAAACAGTAGATGGATCTGCTCAAGGTCCAGATGCATCTCTGAGGTCACGCGTCAGGTTCTTTGATGGATTTGTTAAAGACGTGACTTCCCGGTCATGTTCATCTGCTGTAGATTGTTTTTACTTCTGCCGCTTCTTGTTTTGTCCTCTTCTTGTCCAGTTTTGTCAAAAATGTTTAAGAACAAACTGCGCAACATCCTGAATTATGCCAAGTTTTTAGCAAATGACTCGTTTGGAATCACTTTCTTGGTGCCAAAATACTATTTTACGCCTGTCTCACTGTGTTATCTTTGGCATTTTATTGTGAATTCAGCTAAAGAAAGGGGAACAGATTATGTTTTTCCAATGTGCTGGTAGTAACAAAGTAACAGAAGATACCATTTTAAAATGTTTTTCTTTACTAAGTTATCTGTTATACTGTATGTATACAGAGTGATTCATTGGTCAGCGTTAAGTGATGTAACAAACAAACAAAATTCTTCAAGTACAAGGACTGGACTGAAAAATCTGTGAAAAAGCACCAATGTCGAAAGAAAAACTTTAAAAGGCCTCCAGAAAGCCTGGAGAACTGTTGCTCAATACCACTTAAAAATTACAAGAAAGCCTTCAAAGTAAAATATAAAGAAATGAGGGTTATTTTGTGCAGCACTGTTTAAATCTATAAACACCAGATGTAAACAGATCAGTTTCAGATGTGTTTCTCAAAAATCTGGTTTGACTACATAAACCAACTGTTGGTTTGGCAGCTTTTATAATATACATTTAAACTTTGACTGTATGAAGTCAGAGTTTGAAGAAGGTTGTAGTCTAAGACATGAATACTGTGTGAAGACTGATGGACCAAAAGAGAAGACAAAGAAAACCTTTTTCAGTTCAGTTAATGGAAAGGAGTGCAGTTTAAAAATGTGGAATTGAGCTTTGGCTATAGTTTTGTCCTTTTGATTTCCGTCATTCTTTAATAGACTACCCATAAAATCTGAGCTGAGTCCATGTCTGTCAGATTCACTTGAAAGCCAAAATCCTGGCTTTGATGCGCAGAGTAGAGAGAAAGTTTTCAGGAGCACTGCAGTTTTTATTTAAGGCTCATAATAAAAATGTTTAATACCAACACTGTGACTCTTTCTAAAGAAGTTTAAGTGAACTTGTTGGTCATGTTGGTGCTGTGAAGTGTAAGTCACCATGCTCTGCCAGGTCTTTCTAGTAGATTTGTTGAAAGACATCATTCAAAAGTAAAAGACTCATAAAAGCGTTTCAGGCTTTGATGAATCACTCTGAGGTTGAATGAAACAAAGACTGTGTCGTCTGGTGTGACTAAAAAAGGGCTTTGGCCTGATTTCTATGTACTGTATTTGCAAAGTGAAATAAAAGCGACATGGATTTCGCCAACTCTACGGCAAAGCCTGATAGTGGCAGTAACATATTTCCACAGCAGGAACTCGGAAGCAGATCCAAACCAAAGCAGCATATATTCAAATATACAAAGAGATCATGCTTAAGGAAAAATATACAGCCTCAGTGGAAAGATTGACTAAAAATGCTTTAGTGGGTTTGAGACTATTTTCTGTCTTTACCCAGCCAAACCCAGACATCCATGAAAAATCTGTAAATCGACTTCAAGATAACAGTTGTTGCACAGCTCGTGTTAACACGTCATGTTTAAAGAACACAGATTGACGCTGGACAAATACAGGTGTGTAGTGCTTCCTTTGCCACACATTGCTAAGAGTAGCATTACCATTATGCGCTGCTAGTTTGCATAGATAAATTTAAGCCTCTTTTCATTCATCTCGGACACAGTTGCAACATGTTAAGACATGCTCTGTCACGATGTAGCTGCGGGGCAAAAAAATACGACTCTGATCGAATGTAAAGTGAGCCGACGACAAGCAGATATATGGACTATGTGGAAGGACTTAGTCTGGGTCAGCTTACTTTATCTGTGAAAG